GTAGTGGTAGTGGTAGTGGTAGTGGTAGTGGTAGTGGTAGTGGTAGTAGTAGTAGTAGTAGTAGTAGTAGTAGTAGTATAGTAGTCGTCGTCGTAGTAGTCGTAGTCGTAGTAGAGTGGTAGTAGTAGTCGTCGTCGTAGTAGTAGTAGTGGTACCAGTTCTAGGATGTCGTCATCATCACGCCACTGGGCAGGGTGTCTTAGAGCCCCGCCCCGAGAAGAAGGGACAAATCCGGCACCCTGCCGGGTCAATCACCGAGTGCTGCTTCGCAAAGAAGCCTCCCTGCTTCTGGGGCTCATGATGAAGCAGCCCTTGTTCCACTTCTGAAGATTTTGGCGGATCGGCTGTTCAATCATGCTTAATCCATTCCAAATGACGTGGAGGCCTGGCTCGGCTGAAGCACCAACCATCCAACGTGGTGCTGTTGGAACAAAGCCCTCTTGGAGACCAAACCGGCTCATGACTCATGACTCGTACAACACAGGCGTCGCCTGTCCGGTGCCGTTCTTCAGCTCCCCGTGTTGAGTGGAAAAGTCCTTTGCATCGACCGCCCGCCATCCATCCCCCAGCAACTCGACCAACCGGAACGCGGACCGGCCAACGCGGACCGGCCAGATTGACGTCCCAAGGCGCAGTCCATCTTCATGGACATTGCCATAGCCCACACTGGACTTGGTGACCTGGATTTGTTTTTGTCCGCCGACCAGAGAAAACGGGGGGCCGGGCAGAAGTGCGGCACCCCAAACTTCTGCAGTCGACGCCCAACTTTGGGGTGGGTCAGGACCGAAACGCGGGGTGGGCCGGTCACCTTGTGGAACCTTTGATGGGCAGAAATTCGGGAGAAAAACCAGGGAACATGTGGGAACATCACAATTCATCACATGTGCGAGACTTGCAAAGCCCTCAAGCGCGGAGGCACATCATCGGGAACCACTCTTAATTCCTTCAAGATGAACATTCACCTCCATCATGCCCCGGTGGACCGACCAGTCGCCGTTGGACCGGTGTGATCAAACCCCCGCGGGCGGCGACCGGCAGGCGCGGCCGGCAGAACTCTCTACAGCAAGATGTCTTTAACATCCAACCTAATAGGGATGGCCTCCAACCTAATAGCGATGGCCTCTAACCTAGTAGCGGTGGCTTCAACCTAATAGCGATGGCCTCCAACCTAATAGAGATGGCCTCCAACCTAAGAGCGATGGCCTCCAACCCAATGGAGATGGCCTCCAACCCAATAGCGATGGCCTCCAACCCAATAGCGACGGCCTCCAACCTAATAGGGATGGCCTCCAACCTAAGAGCGATGGCCTCCAACCTAATAGCGACGGCCTCCAACCTAATAGCGATGGCCTCCAACCTAAAGATGGTCTCCAACCTAAAAGCAATGGCCTCCAACCTAATAGCGATGGCCTCCAACCAAATAGAGATGGCCTCCAACCTAATAGCGATGGCCTCCAGCCTAATAGAGACGGCCTCCAACCTAAAAGCAATGGCCTCTAATAGCGATGGCCTCCAACCTAATAGCGATGGCCTCCAACCTAATAGAGATGGCCTCCAACCTAAAAGCGATGGCCTCCAACCTAGTGGCGATGGCCTCCAGCCTAATAGCGATGGCCTCCAACCTAGTAGCGATGGCCTCCAACCTAGTAGCGATGGCCTCCAACCTAATAGCGATGGCCTCCAACCTAGCTGGCCTCCAACCCAATAGAGATGGCCTCCAACCCAATAGCGCCAATAGCAATGGCCTCCAACCTAATAGCGACGGCCTCTAACCTAATAGGGATGGCCTCCAACCTAAGAGCGATGGCCTCCAACCTAAGAGCGATGGCCTCCAACTTAATAGAGATGGCATCCAAGCTAAAAGAGGGGGTCTATGGCCTCCAACCTAATAGCGATGGCCTCCAACCTAGTAGCGCTGGCCTCCAACCTATTTAGTAGCGATGGCCTCCAACCTAGTAGCGATGGCCTCCAACCTAGGCGCGATGGCCTCCAACCTAATACCGATGACCTCCAACCTAATAGAGATGGCCTCCAACCTAATAGCGATGGCCTCCAACCCAAAAGCGTTTGCCTCCAACCTAGTAGCGATGCCCTCCAACCTAATAGCAATGGCCTCCAACCTATTTAGTAGCGATGGCCTCCAACCTAATAGCGATGGGCTCCCAACCTAGTAGCGATGGCCTCCAACCTAATAGCGATGGCCTCCAACCTAATAGAGATGGCCTCCAACCCAAAAGCGATGGCCTCCAACCTAATAGAGATGGCCTCCAACCCAAAAGCGATGGCCTCCAACCTAATAGCGATGGCCGCCAACCTAATAGAGGTGGCCTCCAACCTAATAGCGAAGGCCTCCAACTCCAACCTATAATAGAGATGGCCTCCAACCCAAAAGCGATTGCCTCCAACCGTAGCGATGGCCCTCGACCTAGCAGCGATGGCCTCCAACCTATTTTGTAGCGATGGCCTCCAACCTAGTAGCAATGGCCTCCAACTAGTAGCTATGGCCTCCAACCTAATAGGAATGGCCTCCAACCTAATAGCGATGGCCTCCAACCTAATAGCGATGGCCTCCAACCTAATAGCAATGGACAGCGATGGCCTCCAACCTAATAGAGATGGCCTCCGACCTATTTAGTACCTCCAACCTAGTAGCGATGGCCTCCAACCTAATAGGAATTGGACTCCAACCTAGTAGCGATGGCCTCCAACCTAGTAGCGATGGCCTCCAACCTAGTAGCGATGGCCTCCAAGCCAGTAGCCCATGGCCTCCAACCTACTGTACTAGCAATGGCCTCCCACCTAATAGCGCTGGCCTCCAACCTAGTAGCGATGGCCTCCAACCTAGTAGAGATGGCCTCCAACCTAGTAGCGATGGCCTCCAACCTAATAGCGATGGCCTCCAACCTAGTAGCGATGGCCTCCAAGCTAATATAGCGATGACCTCCAACCTAACAGCGATGGGCTCCAACCTAGTATAGCGATGGCCTCCAACCTAAAATAGCGATGGCCTCCAACCTACTAGCAACGGCCTCCAACCTATATAATAGTATGAAACCAAGAACGTGTGTCAAATCTGGCTTCAAACCACTGGTCAAAATGGCAATTTGTAGCCCAAGATTCCAACAGTAACTGTCAATTCCAACTCCAATGCTCTGCCGCACATGTTCATATCTCTTCCTCCAACAGTTGCGTCCAGGGAATCCCGAAGGCTTCGAGTAAAACGCACAAGCCGCGTACTATGAAAAGTTACGTCGTGATTGTCGCAAAACACGGCGACCCGACCCTTGTATAGCTCCTTATGCCTCCACCAAGACACTGAGGATAAAAGAAAGGAAGACTAACCAGAGTCTCATCCTCCCTATTTACTTCCAACATCTTCCAACTTCATTTTCTCTTCTGTTCTGCCCTGCCCCTTTGAAAACCACCTACCCAACTAGCATAGCATGGTGATAAGAATATCATGAATATCAATTTCCTAATTATGCTAATAAGCCGCTAAGCATCCGTCATCTGTCCAAATGAAGAATCCAATCAGCAGGTCTATCTTTCGTCATCCTCCCACATGCGCAATGCTTGGGCCACCCAGCCGTCTGATCCCACTTGGGACACCGCGGAAGCTTCCGCTTGGAGCTCAAGTGAGTCTCCAAGGACACCTCGATGGCGGAACGGCGCACGTGCACACGAGCCACTGGCCAACGAGCAGAAGATTGCAGCAAAGCTGATGAATGCTGACACGATCTGAGTCTGGCTGACATTCAGAGCAGATCCGATTCACTTGCGGGAATTGCCAAGGGATTTGGATGGCCTGACCAGGCGGTCATGGGATGTCATGGGATGTCATGGGATGTCATGGGATGTCAGTGGAAGTGACACACCGTTGCTACGCAACCTATCGACAGAACCCTTCTACCACTTTGCTTTCCTACGCGACGAGCACGTGGTCAAGACACCATCTATAGGGGGTTCAGCAGTGGACACCACGCACGTTAGGACACCGTCGCATGCCAGGCACGTCCGAGGTCCGGGCAGCTTTGTGCGCCTTGACCCAGACCTCGTGGTGCACAGGTGGTGCACAGGGGGCGCCAGCTGTGGCATGGATGCTCTTCATGGCCATAACCATAGCTGTGCTTCCTGATGCCTTGATTCATGAGACAAACACGGAGACTTCCACGGAAGGCACGTCGTGTTTGACTTATGTCCACATGACACCATATAATTAATGCACACACTCTCCGGTGATAGGAACCTCTTGGCTCTTGGGCGTTGTAAGACACCTAGGCCCGCCCTGAAAAACACCTCAAAAAGGCGTCCTAGGAAACCAGGAAAACTCACTGAACCACATGTGACAATATTTAAATCAACCCTGAACGTCAGTGCATGTACTTACATGCGCAAGGAAAACACATGTGCCTGTACTCTATTAGACTCTATATTGTTACATCTGTAACAACGACACCACTCCGCTGGCGGACCCCATAGCTGGCACGGGAGGCACCAATGGGCACGCGATAGCATGCCCGAGCCTGGGCGAGGGTTCGTATGGGCAGGAGTAGAAGTAGAGGAATTAGAGGAGTTCTGGTTCGGGCTCGATCAAAGGAGAAGCGACAAGCAAACAGCAAACAGCGGCCGATCTGTGAAACTAGTTTCTACAGTAGTTCTTTGATCTGTTTGAGGTGAAACGTGGGTTACGGTGACTTTGCGTGGTCACTGATTAGAATTACGAATGGAATCTTAATATAGGATCAAACGACGAACCCACCAAAAACAGCAGTTTTGGGATTGTTTGATTTGTTTTTCTCCGAAGCGTCGATGGTTCCCAAAAAACACCTGCTGGACAGCCCCGCTGGACAGAACAGCCCCGCTCAACAGCACATGGCGTGAACCAGGTGAACAACATCTCGGAGAAAAATCCTTCGTTTTCACATCTGGTGTCACGTCGACATCCGCATTCTACACGGTGTGAGCTGTTGGTCAGGATCTTCACCGATGTCCCTGTTGGTCAGGATCTTCACCCGAGTTCGCCGCCGAGTTCGCCGCTGAGTGGGGGGCTGGCAAGGGTGGTGGTCCAAAGCGCAAGACGGGCCACGCAACATCGAGGGCATCCTCACGAGGATGCAGTTGCTGATGGTCACAGAATTCTTCCGGGTTTTGGAGTCATCCAGTCTTCACCTTGCAAGATACAGTGCCCAAGGTGGGCTCGGAGCCTGATCTGTCTGCTGATTTGGCAGCACACATGAAAGCGGAAAGTTGGCAGTTGTTCCCAACAGGACACCCCAACCAATGAGAAAATACCGTGATCCATACGTCTCAAAGGGCGGGGGATCTATATCTAAACTATGCTGTTGATGGCCTGGGGCTGTGACACGTCCAAATTCTATCCGGTTCATATTATGTGATGAGTCGGTGAGTGTTGGAACCAAACTCCATTTTCCTAAAACCACGGGCTACGGCGGCTACAACCACGTTCCATACCATCTGCACCTCGGCCCAAAAGTTCGTCCCGAACGCACAAGCAGCGCCCAACGGGACGTGTCCCGAAGCAGGCGGGACAATGCTCGTCTCTCATGGCCTGGAGATGGGTGGGGGGATCAGGAAAAGGCACCAAGTGGTGTGGTCAACCGAGACTTTGTAGATTGACAGAAACTCATAGCAAGTCGTGGAAACCCCTCATTTTTGGGTCCCTTCTAGTTTGTAACCTTCTGCCCGTTGGCCCCTCCAACCGTGTCGAAAGGCTGGCCTCACGCCTTCCACACCTTCGTCCCTCTCTTTTTTGGGGCTCACGACCAGTCGCGGCGGAACCCGCGCGGACCGAGGGCTAGCTCGGTCGGCCCCGCTGTCCCCGCCGTTGCAAACCGCTAATACATGAAGGTTGTCCGATCGGAACTCACCGGACCAGTGCGAAGATGGAGTCTTCCATGATGTCGTGCGTGCGGTCGCCACGAAGGCACACGGCACACCATGGCACTTGTTGACCGGCCATTTGGTCACCACGAATTGGACAACCTTCTTATTCGCCAATGGCTCGCCACGGTGCCGAATGTGGAATGTCTCGTGTTTGAACGAGCTCCGTGGGGACCGGCGTGGAGGTTTGCAACTGAAGAACTCTTGGTAGCGTCCTTGCTCTTAAAAGCAAATGAAGAAAGCCTTCAGTGAGCCACTAGCAGCATTAGCACTGGCAAAATAGACGTGCAAGGATGCACCTTGCTCAACGGAGTAAGTATCCCAACGGTTTATGGTATGTGTGTTTGATTGTATAAGCGGGTCAACTCATCATCAACTCCTTGTTTTCACACACCTGTCATTGGCTTCCTATCTGATTTGTCCCCAGCAATCTCGGAAATTAATGGACATTACAAATGCCCCAGAGAGAAGATTTTGAGCATGTTCATTTTGCCAAACCACGGCACATGTAGCATGTGGCAAAACGGAGGGCACACTTCCTGCAGCAATGCTGCAGTACAACTGTTGGTGGCGAAGGCTTTCAAGGGTTGCTACATGGAACAATCAAGTTGGAAATCAAAAGTCCAATGCGAGGAACATATGCACATCGTGTCAAAACACACGAAGCCGTTGATCCTTGAGCCCCTTGTGGCCTGCTATGTGTCGACGATCTCAATCCAAGCACATCTTGAATAGCTTGGGTATATCGGTATATCCTTATTAGCAGTAACAGTGGATGATCATTAGTAAAGGATCCAAAAAAAGCGGCTCTTGCAGGTCATGTCGGACACCCCTCCTAAGCCTAAGCCACGGCGTTCGCCTTTCTCACCGTTCCCATTCCCCAAAAAGGCTGGACCGGGATGAGCGCCAGACCGGGATGGTTCTGGTCCGACACGAAGCTCCGTCGGTGTCTTTCGCGGCCGACCACGAAGCCGCTCAAACACGAGAGCCAGAGGCTCCTCCGATGGTCGAGAGGAACAAAATTTGGTCGTGGCAAGATCCAGTTGCTGAGGCTTTGGGCGCAAAATTGCGTTCGCTCCGCTGGTTCGTGCGTGCGTGTGATGCTCGCCCGCAGGGGGCCCTGGATGCTTGTCTCGCTCAGCCCGTGCCGGAAGGGGCCGCTGGGCTCGAGTTTGGCCGCGTGGATCTTGCACGACGAGCGTGCTGCCTTTCGATTGGCTATTAACGATACCATTTGGAAGGTCCTCCTGCGACTTTCCAGGGGTCCAAACAGCTCCCAATCCGAACTCATCCCTGCTAGCCCCCGGCTAGCCGGGGCGCGGGCTTTTTCTCCTTCGGCCAAGGGACCGTCTACCTCTGAGTCTGAGTGGGGTCACAATATGATTTGCCAAAGAGACACCGTCATAGCGAGCATTCTGAATGCTTTCACCGACACCGTCGGCCAAAAACACAAAGCCGACACCAAGCAAAAACCACGTCAACACACTGCTTCCTGCTTCCTCGTGTTGAGAAACGTTGAGAGCTATGCGGGAGCCCTGGGCACGGCAGAATGACCTGATGCGGCCGTCATGGCCTCTATGGGAAATGACCATTCTTCACCGGCACCCATACGTAACAAGAAGCTACTGGAACATGAAAGCCAGGGTGAGAGGATGGGCCTCTTGATTCAGATAGACGAAACCTGGATCGCTTGGCCTTTTTAACAACATGGCCTTTCTGAGCGACTGAGCCACAGTTTCTGGCAACCGCAGCATACGTCGTGAGGCCTCCAAAAAGAAACACTGCATGAAGGTGGGATGGAAGCTTCAGTGGCATGACTTGAAAAAATCTGTGGCACACAAAACACCCAAACAGATCCAAACAGTAACAGTAGTTCGCAACAACAGCAGTAGTGGTAGTGGTTCATCCGCTCTTGGATGGATCAATTTTAACCGCAATTGGGGTGCTTCTTTGGTTGGAAAGGTCAAGCGAGACACAAATCGATGCCTCCTCTCGCTTTTCCACCTGTGAAACTCATTCTCCAAGCGAAGACTGCCTTATTTTAGAAGATACTGCTCATGGGTTTCTTCTTTTTGTTTGGAACCCTATAAACATCGTTTTTCTTATCCAAATCCAAATCAATATGTTATGGCGGGGTGTCCTTTGCGTGCAGCTGTTTCTCGACAGCAAGGCCCGGCATATGATCCAAAAGTTCTGGTAGTAGGTTCGGTTAGTCATGCTGTTTCTTCACCTCAGACCCGAAAAAAACACAAGGCAGGGTTTCCGTATCTCATTGTATCTCCAAACCTGTCAGCATTTTCGGAGAAACCAAACGAACCAGAATAGGTGAAGAATCCACGAAGAACGTACTACGTACGTTGTTTTAGCAGGTCTGGGCAAGTGGAGGCATCTTTCTCCTGAAAATGCCAGGCATGGCAGAAAAGACTCGGAGGCTGCTCCTTGGTCAACTCTCTTTGATCCGGGCGCTACTCCGTCTCGGTCGGAAATCGATGCCCCGTCTAGAACGACCCTGCTCGATGTGCGGAAAGAAACAATGATCCCGATCCCTAAAACAGCCACCAGGTGCGTAAATGACACCAGGTGTCATGTCTAATCTGTAAGGTTCCAACATCAATAAACACCCAATCAGAAGTGGAAACCATCCGCAGCTTTCCTGCGTTGTCATACGGAGTTCCGGTGGTTTCAGCAGGCTCCGGTCGGTCACAGACCGCCTCGTGTTCGAAGGAGAACTCCCCGAGGATCTCTCATCCCCGGAAGTCCGAAGTGGAGGCGGCCCTTGGGGGGCCGGGAATCTTCGGCGCTCGCGACTCGCGACTCGCTTCAGGCTTCTTTTGCTTGATGCACTGATGCACAAAGACCCAGGGTGGTGGAACCCCCACCGGAAAGAATGAACCCCAGAGGACTGTCGGACTATGTTGAAAAAACCAGGTTAGTGGCGGAGTAGCATGTAGAGTCATGTCAACGTTGCGATCACTTTCAGAAGAAGCTGTCGAAGGGTCTCAATGTTAAAAAATATTGGTTGCCCAAACTCTGCTTCTACAAAAGTGGCACGCACTTTAGACCTGTCACCTGCAAGAAGAAATGCACATAACATCATCACATATCAAGTGCCAATGCATCTCCTGCACATGACTATTCCGTCCCCCGTGCCCAATCTACAATTGCCCTTTTCAGTGATGATTCAGTGATGAACATACCCAACGAACATGCCAGCAGGATTCCACTCCGGAACCAGGTACCGGAACGCTGGACTGCATGTTGTGTCTAGAAAGGTGTTTCGTCACTGACATCAATTCGTGAACAGCCGAAAATCCCCAGGCAGACATCAAGTTCGGGGCTTCAAGCTTCGCTTCAAAACCCCGGGTCGAACGGATCCTGAGAGATGGGTCCCGACGGCCACGCGGTGCCGTAAAAATCGTTCTTCGTCTCCTAAATCGTTGCGAGTTCCAACACTCCAAAACGGACTGTGTGACTCAAAAAGGCAACCGCATGGAGAACATTCTGAGCTGAGAAAGGGTAGAGTGTGAAGCTCATTTCGTACTCTAATTAGGTTGAGGCTATGCATGGGTAGGCCCGTTTCTACACGAGATGTCTGGCCATGGCTCAGTCCATCCGAAAGAGATGCGTTTTTGGCCCAGCAGTGGCAGCTCGCACCCTTTCAGGATCCGCAGACTTGTTCGATCAGGCCACGTGGGACGTAGCGGACGTGTTTGATCTGGTTTTGTATGTCTTGGAGTGGAAGAGGTCGGGGAGGTGGACCAAGGTAGACCCGGTAGACCTACACACCATCTCTGGAAGCCTGGATTGGCACTCAACCCCTCTTGCAATGCAGGTAGGTGTCAAGTTGTTTCAGTTCATGGCATGAGTCCGACCAAAGCAGAAAGCTCCACTCGCCAACAGGGTGTGGACCATAGGTATTGGGAGGGCCTCAGCGACCTCAGCCACAAATAGGCACAACGTTACTGGACCTGTCCATGCAATATTACAAGACATGGGAAAACAGTGAGGATTCGAGGCCATATGTGACAGTTTGTCCAGGTTGTATGACCAAAAAAACACTCTTGGCTAGGGAATGCTGGGAGGGATGTGACACAGAAAAAGACCTGAAGGCCAACTGCAATGACACTACTCAGCTGCCGACGATTGTTTGGAACTCAAAATATGTCAAAATGAATTGTAGACTCTTGATTAATCACCCCCTCCAATTGAATGCACGCAACACCTCTTCATATGGGGGGTTATTCATCAAGAGTCTACATTACACCACCCGGACACGATCAGACACGTTTGGAGCGGCAGTAACGGAGGACCGGAGGACCGGAGGGACTTCGGCTCTGTCGTCATGCGTGACTGGCGACTCTGTTGCGCGGAACGTGACGTTCGTAGCGCCCCGTCGTTTCTTGTAGCGATACCGGCGATACCCATTGTTCCGTTCGTAGCGAACCTTGTTCCTAGTAGTAAGGCCAGGAGCTACGTTCGTAGCGTTCTTGTTAACGTTCGTAGCGACGCACTTGTTTATATAGGTTCAGTGATGTTCAGTGTGAATTGCGCCACTCTGCCCCGAAGCCAAGCCAGACTTCAGGGGGAGTTCTTCAAGCCTCACGGGCTCGTTCGACACGGGCTCGTTCCAGGCGAGAGCGGCTGGCACGTCGGAACCACCACCCCACAAAAGCGATGGCCTCCAAGCCTCTAGCGATGGGGCAAGTGTAGACCTTTCGTAGATCCTCTAGGTGGCCGCAAGCTAGTGTCCAAAGAGTGTATGTGGAATAAATGTTATGGCAAAACGAGTTTGGCACCAGTTGCAGTGGGATAGGTGAAGTAACACAACCACAAGAAGGCCACTTCTGGGTCATTGTTCAACCAAAACTTAATTGGTCTCACATCATCCCAAGCTGTTTCGAACAGATTGCCGGATCTAAGACTGTGACTAAGAGCAATCACCTTTGATGAGTAAAGCTCCGTTCACTGAAGAACTGATGTTCATGTGGCACTTCCCTCATCCCAACAGCAACAAATCTTCATGCCCCCTAGAAGCTACGTCTGCCAAAAAAGAGCTTCCAATTGACACACCAGGATTGTTCGCATTGGGCTGTTTGAGGTTTGAGGTTCGCCCATGCTCACTTGAGACCATTCATCTAGGCGAAGGTACCGTTAACGATCTGCACTTCGGGGCTGGGGGCGGCAGTGGGACTGCCTCCACCCTAGTAGCGATGGCCTCCACTGGAGGGTGGGGAATGGACTGACCTAGTCGGATTCATGACCTGTACAGCTACACTAGTGTATATTATATATATATTATATATATATTATATGAGCGTCTTTCTTTGACAAGACCGGCCGCAGAGTTTCACCAGCCATGTGCTGAGCATCGTTCAAGAAATGGTGGGTCCAACAGGCTGCTTTTGAGCAAGCAATCAGGATAGGGTATGGATAGGTTTATCACCACATCAACCATCCGGAGCACTACGTAGTCTTCTTCATCCCCCTCCCCAAGCTTTCAAACGCGTTCCTTTGGGGCCAACTCTATGCCATGCTCGTTGATCACTGTCATGTTGAATGCAGGTTCCCTCCTTTCCATCAGCCCAAGACACATAGCCATTTCCAGGCCCCCGCCTGGACATGGGAGGCTTCCGAAACTCTTGCAGGCCGAAGTGCATCGAACCCATCACCAACCAAAGAGAACCTGCTAGCGATGGCCTCCAACTTAATTGAATTACAGTAATTCCAGGAAATATGGCCAAGACCTCCTGTCCAAACGAACATTCTTTTTTGTTCAGCGCCATTCTCACAACCACACGGCTTGTCCTGAAGTTCAATCATCTCCTAATCGTGTCAAAGATGATCGTTCTTGAATTGAGGGCTGCAACCTGCCAACCGTGTTTTCTCGGTGCATTGAGGGTGCCAACCGTCTTGACCTTGACCTTGCCGATATCAGCTCTTCGCTCTCTCTCTCTCTCTCTCTTCCGCCTGACTCCCGCTCGATGCGAGACATCACCACGACTGACAATCTGCGGGGTAACTATTGTTCCAGAACGCGAAATGCCCACCGGGACAGCCCTGAAATCAAGAGCAACGTTCATTAGGGCCTTATCCTCATCCTTCACAGATGACCGACTTCTCCACCATCCCACTCGCGCAAATCCGATCCCCTCTGTCACACCGACACTCTCTCATTGGAGTGTGCACGCCCCCGCGCCAGTTCGCCCCCCCGTTCGTCCCCCCCGTCGCCACGCATCGCCACGTCGCCAGCGCGCCGGGTGTCGGCGCCCACTGGGCGTTCCCCACCGAGGGTAGCTCTCGAAGGGAACGCTCCCTGCGGGGAAGAGATCCTTCAACGGGATGAACTGGTCCGAAGGGTCACACCTCCGCGTCGTCGACTGGAGCGACCGAAGCTGCAGCGGTCATGTGTTTCGCGTCGTTTTGGGAGCTCAGGGAGCTCAGGGGGATACGCGGTGTCTGTGCTGTGGGTGTCGACGTGCGTGTGCAGTTGAGAGAGAAGATCCAGCAAAAGGCCCCTCGAAGGAATGAACTGAAAAGCCGTTCAGTTGGAGACCGAGCACCACAAATCCGCTCATTGATGAAGAGAATGGTCATGTCCCCACAAACGTGAATGCCGATGGCAATCCTCTCACTTGTTTAGGGAATTTGGTTCACCCCAAACACATGGGAAGCTCAGAAGCTTCCATATCTGTCAAACTCCTAGCAGTATCCATCAGTTTCTACTTTTCTTGAAGTGAAACATGCTGGTGACTCACCCGGTTTGTGGCGAAACTTCTCTCCAACCAAGCTCCTCTCCGACTGTGCCTCATTCGTAGCTCCGCCTGGAAGTAGCCCAGCCGGTGCCAAGTCTGCCTTGGTGGTCGTATTTGTGTAGATCGAACGTGAAAATGGAAGAAGATGCTGGCCTTAAATCTACAAACGCACCTTCTTGAAAGGACATCACTATCCACAATATTGTGTGTACTTTGGGTATAGATATATATCATATATCCCATTGCTAGTAACAGTGTATACGTATGTTTGTATCTATCTATATATATATAACTATATAGATATTGTATGAATTATGAATATAGATTGGGAACAACAGCAGAAACACCACGGAACATGCCGGCCAGCACCCCAAAAACCGCTCGCAGAAAACACCCAAGAAGGAAGAACACCTCTCTCATGTGTTGAAAAAACTAAAGGACATTCCGTTCTCTTTTTTGCTGTCCAGGTGGCATCTCCTGCAGAGAGAAGGGCCCCTGGACGTTACCCTTAGGATCGATGTATTGCCACCCGTGGTTGGGCGGCCGCCGCCTCGGACGGAGTGAGCGAGCCGTGCGAGCCGGATTCTCCGGTCGGTCGTGCCTGGTCGTTTGGTCGGCGGATTCTCCGGTCGATCGAGCCAAAGGATTTGGTTTAGCCCAACCTTCCAAGAATGGAACATGATCAGTTATACTTTGGAGGCAGGACAAGGACGTCCTCCTTGCAATACACATGTTGCAAGGTGACAAAGTCGGTGGTGTGGGCCGAGTGAACTCAGTGAACCCAACGTGCACATCCCAAAATCGACCACGCGTGCTACCCAGGGCCTAGGGCATGTGAACATGTCAAACATGAGAGATGAACCAACCAAACTTGCGGATGGGGTAGGTCTCGAGTCTCGTTTACCTCGTTGACCCAAACCAAAGGCTTCTGCTCTCGTTGGTCTTCACGGTCTTCAGTCCCCTCTGAGGCATTGGCTGTTTATCTGCACCTGAGGCAGAGGCGCTTGCAAGTCCACAAGCGTGAACTGGTGGCTGGTCGGAGAAGTGGCTCCAGTATGCTCCAGTATGCTCCGGTGGACGCCGGTCAATCGGTGAACCAGTGGCCCATTGAGGCGTTTGGGACTCGAGAGGCCATGGGGAAAGTGCATTGACTCGGACCGTGAGTCCAATCCAGGAGTTCTTGGTACAAACCTTCGTTTGTAAAACTTACATAGGACGAGTTTGTCAGAAGCAACACCATCAAAAACTGCGCCCACTTTTTGCCCTGGCAGCCTGCAGCAGGTCGCTGCAGCTGTTGCAGTTGCTCTTCTTGCATCCTCGGTGTCGATGCTGCCGATCACGGCAGTTTGCGGACCCAGCGAGTCTCCGGGTTCAGACGAGCACTGATCAACCCGAGAGCCACCCGATCGAAGTGTGGCCCCAATTTCATGCCAATTCCAGGGGAATTTGAGTTTTCTAGGCGTTCCAAAAGTGCAAGATTTGCTCCCAGTGCAAAGTTGGAATGAAAAAAGCATCAGGGGCTCCTGGCATCGCTACGAACGGAGCGATCGGACGCTACGAATGGGGCTCCTGGCCTTACTACTAGGAACGATGTTCGCTACTAGGAGCAAAGGGCATCGCTACCAACGGAGCAAGTAGCAGTGTTTCGACCGCTTTTTTCATTCCCAAAATGCTTCATGCACCCACGGCAGATGGCCACCACCAATGCCCCCGAGTGCCCCGAAAGTAACCCATATTAATGGTGCTCTAGCGGAGGACATCGCTCTTAGGTTGGAGGGCATCGCTCTTAGGTTGCAGGCCTTCGCTAGTAGGTTGGAGGTCATCGCTCGCTATTAGAAACTCAATTTAGTTTATGTTATTAATATGTTTTTATACTTATATCAATGTACCACCGTTGATGGAAGCACGGTCGCCCGCGGTCCAAGTCCAGCCAAAAAACAGCGTCGCCGTCGCCCGCGGTCCAAGCGTCGCCAGCTGTCTCCGTCTCGACTCCTCCATTTGTGCGGCCAAATGCCTGGTCGCCGCGGCGTTGGCCTGGTGGACCGCGAGGCACCCGCTGGTCGGCACACCCCTGGTCGGATGCCTACGTGGTCGACCCATCGATCCATGTGAAAGGGTGGCATAGAGTATTGGATTGTTTGTATTGGTTCAGATTGTTTGGTGACCCACCAAATAGATGGAGTGAACAGTGAACACCGAAAAAAAAAGACATGTTGTTGTTCTTGGATGTTTCTGAAGAACTATTTCCAATGGTTCCCCACATGGAGTTTACCCACCTCCTTCATGGAGCCGGGCATAGCCGTCTGTCTTCAAAAGCGACTTGGGCCCAACGAACCCCAAAAACACGTGCAGTTCCCTCAAGAAGAAAAAGACCCATTAGCAAACCCATGAGGTCAAAATCCGAAAATCACCCAGGTGAGAAATGTCAAGCTATGCATAGCTATGCATCATAAATCCTGGGAGCCTCCATAAAATATTGGTTCTTCTGCCGTAGTGCCGGAGTCTGTGTTCCATGTTTGCTGGTTGTTTTCCTTGGTGTTTCGAGTTCATTGTGAGCGACAGGAATTCTGTTGCACGAACTTCTGAGTCTATCTTTGTGCTCCTTCGGATGGAACTACAGGGACAAAGAAAGCCTCCTCAAGGGGAACTCGTCCAAAACCGTAGCAAGTGGCACCCCCGCTTCGCATCGTCGGTTGGTTAGGAGTCAAGGAGTCCTCCTTTCAAAACCTTCCTTGTTTGTGTAGTGAGCCCGAGCAAGTATCGCGGTTTTCCGTCGCAGTCGTTGCGCCTGGTGTGCTCCATAGCCTGCCATGTTCGTTGATCGACAGCACGTAGAGATCCACACGGTGAGGAGCAAACATTGTACATTTTTGCAGTACACATTAACATCATAATTATATAAATAGATGTATATAACGATCTGTATATTGTTATTGTGACTTGGTAAATCATTATATACTAAACTTGAAAAAAACTGTTATAACAAATCATTACCAGTCTCACAGTTGTCAACTATCTTGTCAGCAAATGATAAAGTATGAAAAAACAAAACTGATGACTTATGAATTAGAAAAATAAACTCCATGAATTAGAAAAAAAGTACTCTTGGTCACAAACCTTGTTGGACCAACATCTTCAACCACATCTTCAAGCCTTCCTTTCCTGGGTGACCTGGACTCTGACAAACTGGTCTGCAAAGGAAAAGGCTTCGTCCTTTGGTCAGCTTAAACCTACCGGTTCCCCGAAGCAAAGAAGCTACGAACGGCCTGGGCTCCGAACGCATCGAACCCGAACGGAGCAAGTCCATCCGAAAACGGGAGAGTCCATCTCCGACCGACGAGATGTACACCTGACAGATGTGAACAGTGTACAGTCCACAGTGCATGAGTTGCTCCATGTTTTTCGGTCCTCAAGACGGCCATGTATGATGATTTATGCGACTCCACTACAGTAGTTTGGACCCTCCTCTTGGCTGTTGCCCATCTTGGAGAGTGTCTCAGACCTAGGTTTTGGCAGTAGAAGATTGGGGGGTGCACTTCCAAGTAAGATCCACACTTGGCACTGTCACTCGACGTCCGGCGCTCAGCTGCTAGACTTCTAGAAACCCTCTTGTAGAAACCTGAAGGATGGCTAGGATTGTAGAGAAATACAATCTTCATTAATCTTCTAAGCATCAATATTCGGGTTCCATGTCAAAACTTCTGGCAAACATTGCAGAAAACCCGAAAACTCATAGAATGTCGTAGAACATTCTGTCATACTCTATAATTATCTGAGTGTCCGTAAACAAAAAACACTTCTGATGAATTGACTACCTCAATCGGACGACCAGAGTGCCTGGGCGCATGCAACGGGCGCACACAACGGGGGCGCGGCCTTGTTGGGCTGCGAGGGCGGCAGCCAATTGCGTTGGATCGCGCCCCAACATGGAAGCCGCGGCCAATTGCTGCTGCAAGAGGCCTGAGATGTGCGGAAGCACATGTGGGGCGACTCTGAAACATCTCTGAGATTCGGTGAAGCACCACATGCGCGGTGTTGACTTCAATGTGGACAGTGAGAGATGGCTTGGCTATGGTCTCGGCCACGGCCCGTTTCTGGCCGAGCCGAACTCCGCTCATTAGGAAAGTATGCAAAGTGGTAGCTGCCGTTCCGTCTTCTTGATCTGGGCTACAACTATCGGCCCGAGGGCGGTCATGTGAGGTGTGAGGTAAGACGGTCCTGAAAAACCAAGCACGAAAGCCTACGGAAAGCTTTCCAAGCACGAACGTCAATTGCCTTGAATAGGGTCTCAAATTGAGCTGTAGACATCACATAATCTAACATTTGCTTTAGAACATGCATAATGTCTTCCTTTTCATGTCCTTTCCATGTAATTATATATTTACCCTGTGGCCCTGTCCTGTCCTTCCCCTTGCCATGTCCGTGTCCCTCCCCTGGCCTTTCCTTTCCTTGTCAGTGTTCCTTGTTCTGCTCCTTTTCAATATCTGTTTCTAAACCTTCAAGTTCCCCAAAACCAGGTTTATGTAGAACGGACCCATCTGCTACATAGCAATCACCTATGAGTAGTAGCACTGTTTTTGAGATCACAAAGCCTACCCCCTTGATCCAGTCTCTCTTGATCCAGAGCCTCGTGTTCCGCCGGCTCTTAGATCGACCCCGAAAGCAAATGTCCAAAGGACATCACCAGAAAAAAAACTGAAAAAAAAAACACATGTGCAAATCAAACGAGTCAAGTCTGTGTTTTCTCTAAGGAAAGCGATCTGAATCGATTGTGCAGGATTTCATCCATTCATTGCTGGGCGGCAACCTCCAAAAATGTGTACTCTGCACCTCCTGATCAATTCGGAGTTGACATGGCTTACCAAGACCTGAATGCCGAAAGCAACCGAAGCGGAAGGCCGATGGTTTGGAACTGCAGCAGCAGCGCCACTGCCATATATGCAGGTGTGGATATCCCCCCAAGGACCCCCCGTAAAAGGACAGGCAAGAACCCAGTGGTTGGGGTGTCTCCCTACCATCACACACACGGACATCTATATCTTAACCAAGAAGCGTTGTTGCTGCTGTTGTTGTTGCTGTTGCTGTTGCTGCCTCTGTTTGGTATTGTTTTGTTGCTGTTGCTGTTGCTGTTGCTGCTGTTGCTGTTGCCTTTGCGACTCCAAGGCCTTGGTTTGCACGGGTTCACCGAACGGACACGATAAACAAAAAGACGAGCCACGAAGACGAGACGATGCACAGACTTCTCGGGTCTTTGTTCGTTGCATCCCCAACAAAGAACAACCTTTCAGGCGATCGCGTGCTCAAAACCAATGTGGTGAACTTCGGAAGTAAACACAAAATACACAAACAGCTTGTACCTGTACCCACCAGGAGTGCCTGGGAAAATCGGGTGGTTTTTGTCGCCAAACGGGCCAACGGCGGCCAACATGTTTCTGTTGCAATGGGCACTTGGCTTCTGGAAACTCACCTGGATTGTTCTGTCGCTTTGGATCTTGGCAGGGGTGGGTCGCTTCTTAGTAGCGGCCTCCAACCTACTAGCGACAGCCTCCATCCTTCTAGCAGTCTGGCAAAAAGCACCGTGTTCAAGAGTTGCTTGGCTTTCAAGGGTGTCTCCCAACTCTCTCATCCACAGTGTTGTTTCTGCAATGTCAAGGTTTTAATTCGCCCAGTGCCCCAAAAACCAAACATGCTTCCTGCACTTGCTCCACACCAATTGAAAAGAGGTGACAACATCGTTTTAAACAAAAACGCACGTGGACATGTCATCCCCTCCATGTCCAAAATGTCCATCCCATTTCAGCCAGCCAACCAAATGCCCAGCCAACCGCCATGCCTAGCCAGCCAACCGTCATGGACCATCCCTCCCAATAACGACTGTCTCATGGTCCATGTCGAGACCGTGCTTTCGGCTCAACTGGTCGTCCGCTTCCCACCCCTTCACATCCCTTCCGGCACCAAGGCACCAAGGCGGCTTCGAGCTGCGCACGTGCGGGGTTCGCACCTGAATTGGCGTCATGGGTCGCGGGTCACGGATTCTGCAGAAGGACTGGGAACGATCTGAAACGTGGCGTGAGACGAAGGCCACGAGAACCATCGTTGAATGAAAAACAAGGTGACTACGGGTGGGTAACTGATCAGATCAGCTGGGATCAGTTGGGATCAGATCAGTTGGGCACTTCTTCAACTTGAGATCAGATCTGAGATCAAAGATCTGCGTGAATGGTGATGTGTAGACTCTGGCCAGAGACGGCGCAGAAGACGCAATCCAACCACACCAAGTTCCTCTCTAAATGAATTGTTCTCAAAACTAGGTTGGAGGCCATCGCTATTAGGTTGGAGGCCATCCTATTACGTTGGAGGCCATCGCTATATTAGGTTGGAGGCCATCCCTATTAGGTTGGAGGCCATCGCTATTAGGTTGGATGCCATCGCTATAGGTTGGAGGCCATCGCTATATTGGGTTGGAGGCCATCCCTATTAGGTTGGAGGTCATCGCTATTAGGTTGGAGGCCATCCCTATTACGTTGGAGGCCATCGCTATATTAGGTGGGAGGCCATCCCTATTACGTTGGAGGCCATCGCTATTGGGTTGGAGGCCATCACTCGCTAGTAGGGTGGAGGCCCTCGCTAGTAGGGTGGAGGCCATCACTAGTAGGGTGGAGGCCCTCCCTAGTAGGGTGGAGGCCCTCGCTAGTAGGGTGGAGGCCCTCGCTAGCAGTGTGGAGGCCATCACTAGCAGGGTGGAGGCCCTCGCTAGTAGGGTGGAGGCCATGACTAGTGGGGTGGAGGCCCTCGCTAGTAGGGTGGAGGCCATCACTAGCCCTCGCTAGTAGGGTGGAGGCCATCACTAGTAGGTTGGAGGCCATCACTAGTAGGGTGGAGGCCATTCCTTTTGATTGCGGGCGTTCAAAGTTTTGACGTTCTACGTCGCTTTGGAGCCTTTCGCACAAGGATGCTCTCAGAAAACTCCTAAATCACAGTTTTGATGGTACGCCCTTGTAAACAATAAATGACCAAAACTTTGAACTGGACTCTAATAGCCTTGGTACCCTTTTTCGCCGCCAGAGGGCCTCCCACGTGTCAAGGAACCTCGGGAAACAAGGAACCGCGAATTCACCTCGGAAAGCAGAGCACCTTGTCCCATGGCAGCTTGCAGAAGCTGTTGCTCGCGCAGCTGCTGAAGCTGTTGTTTCAACTTCTGCTGCCTGGTGCGCCGTTCAGAGATGAGTGGGTGCCGTCTCTGGGGAAACCATGGATCCAGGAATCGGTTGACAGTCCATGTGAGATTTCAGTTCCTCAAGAAAAAAACCGCCCTAGCCTTCCAAGACCGATCAAGGAAAGGTTTGACCTGGTTTTGTGGTGTAAAGTCCATTAGTAAAGCCCAGCGAGAGTAGTCGCACTCTGTAAAGGTGACTCCCAAAACTCTCTGTGCATCCGGTTTCATAGACGAAATGGGACAAGAGAGGCTCGGGAGACCCAACCTGAGAACCACTTCGACACTTCGTTTCTCTGGTTTTCATGTCCTCTCCACCCAGCAACGACCCCATCTGACCCAGCCGCAACGGACTGAACATGAAGAAGACCCAAAACCGAAGAACCACCAGAGGATGCCACAATCACCCCAAAACAGCCAAATTGAGATAAATTAAGTGACACGAGCACCGAACGAAAGTTCGGCACCTCATCCTCATTAGTTTCACAGCCGTCGACTACCGATCCGAGCCAAGCTCGCGGCTGCAGGCGTTGCTGCTGCTGCGCCAAACGTGGGTCCGCCTGCGCCAAGAGCGCCGCCTCGGTATACGGCCAACCACACCGTCCTCCCCGCTGAAACGGCGGTGGCTTCTGCAACGATTTTCCAGAATTCGCATCTCCAGATGATATGGCGCGAACGCATGTTGGCTTGCATGTTGCAGGAGATCAAATGCATGATCTTGCTGCATGTCTTTAAGACAGGAGTCCGAGTTATCTTGTGAAACGCGCCGATTCTGATGTTGACATGACATTTGGTCACCACTCCTAGTTACTTTGATGCAAACAATGCGTTTGCTCATACAGCCAGCAGAATGGCCATCCGTTGACCAGTCCTATGGCCTCCTTAAGGATGTTCGCATAGCAGCATGGGTCCCTGAAGCCCAGCACAGCTGCTGAACCGATGCTGAACCGGTTTTAGCTGCTTCGCCGAAAGAGAAAACCAAAGAGAAAACCCGGCGCAGTCAAATACACCACCAGCTCATTTGGCCGGAAATCTCACTATGTCTTCCTCAACACACACTTGGACAAATAGAACATCGTCAATCTTCTTCTTCTTCTTCTTCTTCTTCTGCTTCTGCCGAGGGGTCCGAGAGATGAAAGACCCCTCGGCGGGACCCTGCCGGTGTCGTCGTGTCCGAAAGGCCCCACCCCACTCGACGAACGTCGTCGCCCAGCGGTCGAGAGGGCCCAGCGGCCAGGTCCGGATTTCCTGCGGCACGGGACGGGACCAGGAGCGTGACCCGAGCGCGGGCCACGTCGGAAGAGCGGAGTCACGGGTCGGAAGATCCTGGGAAGTCTGTGTTCAAGCATGCTACGCCACTGATCTACGCCCTGGTCACCTTTTAGATCGGAGGACTCTTGATGTTGGAGACCTGTGCAATGACGAGGAAACGGATCTGATCCACCCTTGATGCACAAGAATGCCACGTCCAGCAATTCCTGTCTTTAGTCCAACATTGCTCAATACTTCAAGAAGACCTCCGATATGAGTTCTTTTAGAAGATCTGCAACCTTTCCTCCAGCGGGCCAGTCTCCTCCAGCCAATTGTTGCGCAGCCAAAACTGCGGCCAAGTTCTGCTCCCTGCCAAGTTCGAATTCAAACAGTTCACGACGTGCGTGAACCACCCAAACTGTTTCCTACTAGGAACAAGAAGCTACGAACGGAGCAACGGGCATCGGACCCCGAACGGAACACGGACGCTACGGGGCCCGGAACAACTGGCGGAGATCTGAAACAACTGGCGAGGTCCGGGGAACCCGCGAACAGGCGAAGCTGGATCGGAGAGGCACCGATGAATTGCATGACGGCAGCAGAAGTGGACCCTGTGGTACGATCTACATCGTGGTGCATGAATGTGACAGTGGTATGTGAGAAAGGTTTGGGAATACCGGGCGATAGCTCATAAACATAGTGTTGAGAAATTCATGTTTCTTCATGAAGCCTGCCCCAGAGTCGAACTTGCGAGTCACCAACAAGTGTTCTACAAGTGTATCCAATGGCCATGCAACTGCAACATGAAACCAACATCAACATCCCAAAGTGTCAGTATACGTCCAACCTGCCCAGCCACCTCTCGTCTCGGACACATCGTCTGCCCCGTCTCTGAACGCCCCGACCCTCACGACTCGTCGCGTCTGGGCTCTCCGCACGGCGACTGCGGCCGCTCGGGCTCCATGGCCTCCGGTTGGCCCACGCGGCGTGGGTGTTCGAGGCGGGAGAGGCGGGAGGCGGGAGGTGGTGGACGACACTGGGGTCCAAAGCTCGCCGAATGGACTGGTTGGCGGAACACGGCGCCATGACCCATCTCCAACATGGAGGTGGGCAGTTGGGCCACGACCCCTGCCACGCCGTGTGGTTTTCGCGCGATGTTCATGTGTTTTGTCGCATGGAGTGAAGTATGACAAGTGTTTGTCTCTTTTCAGAGTCTGTCTAAGTGCACACCCTATGCCATACATTAGATACTCACCATCCGGAAAAGGAACGAAAAGGTACAGTAGTTTTGCTGTTTTCCAAAACGTAGAACTTCAAGGCAGATCAAGGAAAATGCGCACAGCACTACAGCACCATGAACATTTTGCCGAAGAGAGTGCTCATATTGCGCCACGGCGCAGTAGGGGTCGTGCACCGGGTAGCTTCACTGCAAAGGGTTTCACTGAGATAGAGGGAACTCTTTCAGGTGAAAATGGACATTCCTGCTCGATACAACTATCTACCGGTATGTGGTGTTCTTCTCCCATATCTTCTCCCAAAAAATCGACGCTTGGGAATCGTTTCACCTGTAGTAACAAGAAGCTACTAGTAGGTCTTTGAAGCTTTCTAGTAACTAGAAGCTACGCACGGTGGAGGCCATCGCTAGACTAGTATAGACTAGTAGGTCTTTGAAGCTACTCGTAACAAGGAAATCTCTTCTCAGCTTGTGAGCCTGGTGTCGTTCGTCCTTGCGCGACTCAACATCGGCCGGTTTTGGGATCGCCTCCAACAAGGGCGCGGCTTTGGGGCCCAGCTCCGACAAGATCCGGGCAGCCTCCTGGAAAACGCGAAGGTGTTCATCGAATTGAAGATAAGTTTGTATTCTGAGCCACCTTGAGAGTGTGAGATTCTTGGATGCTTCAGCATGTTCAAGCAGGACCTCCGCGGCTTGAAGGCTTCAAGCTTTGGATTTTGCATGGAATGATTTGGTGCATGCTACGAGTACAAGCACTTGCTGTGTCGATGCAAGATGCTACGAGTACAAGCACGCAGGACAGAAAGCGTGGAGCCAGGCATGTACAGAAGCAACACCTAGCTTCTTGTTACTTGTAATAATGGCCTCCAACCTACTAGCGATGGCCTCCACCCAAAATATGAACCTGTTAGAGTTCCTTGATTCCTTTGAGGTTCGATTTCCCAGAATTGGAAGCCAAACGCGGCACAAGAACTTGTGTCTGTGTGCTGTGTGGAGTCATCTAAGTCTACACGCACCATCTTCAGAACTGCCCTCCCCACCGCCCTGCCGCGGTCCATCTTCGGTGAGGTGCGCGACGGCGGCTGTGACGGCCCCAGCGTGGGCGATGCCCGCTGCGACGGGTTGGGCGACGCCCGCTGCGAGCCGCCGGACGCCGCGCCACCCACGCCGGCGGCGGCGGCCGCGGCGATGGTGGCCGCGGCTGCGGGGTCGGTCTCCGCACGGGTGGAGGAGGCTGGAGAAACGCTCTCCTGAGCGCAGTCGTTGCGGGGGTGAGATAGCTATAACTCAGCCACCTGGTCTTTAGGTGTCTTTAAGTTAATGTCATTTAGCTGAGGGAGTGACATGAACACCAAAAGTAAGAAATCTTGTAAACAGGCCTCTGGACTTCAGGACTATGCCCTCACGTCACCCAAAGCACTTGGCCCCATGACCAAATGACCCCACACCATGCCTGCCAGCTCGTTTCCACCTCTCTGCATCTCCAGCTGCTACACTCTGATCTCTTCTTCCATGTTCCGCCGATTGCTTTGATATGGCTGCTTTGGGTCTGACCCGCTCCCGCCTTCCCCCCCCCCCCGGCTTCGCCCCCTCCTTGGGATCGCCCTTCCTTGGGGGCGAATAGGGCCGTGCCATGGTCTTCCCCCTGAGAACGGGCTTTGCGGGTTCGCACCGAAGCGAATCGCTATGGTCCAGGGGTGTCTGGAGATGCCATGTTCCTTGTCTGCCGCATTACGTAACCATCAGGCATAAACTGATCCTGAGAGGATACAGGACGAATCAGTCCAAATACATCTATAGAATACATTCTAATAGCTATAGTACCTATAGTACCTATATAGTGACATGGGCTTGAATCTCACAGCTGGCGAGACCTCCTGTCACTCTGATATCATGCCTATTAGATCCTATTTTGCACTTACTGCGGTGTCTGACTCAGGGGGTTCTCGGTTTCTCCCTGCCTCCCTCGACTCCCTCGCGGGCAGACGCGGACTCCGAGCTCGGGTCCCCGAGCCCGTTGGCGCCCTCCGAGTCCGGCGACTGTGGAGGCGAACTCCGTGGGGAGACCCTGAGGGGGGCCGGGGGCCGGGGTGGGGGGGCCGGGGTCCGAGGTTTTGGAGATCTGGGTGGAGAGGTGTTCAGTTTCGGAGTTCGGGTGGCAGGCGGAAGAGCTGCTTTTCTTGGATGTGTTGGGTGGAGTTGACGCGCGCAGTCTTGGTTTGAAGAGAGACAAAGGATATCGCTACAAGCTTTTTCACAGGCTAGCCAGCTGCATGGCCGACATTGGCCAGTGAGACACGTCCTAACTAGGTGGACCGCTGTCTAACATCCTGGTACTTCCCTGCTCTGGCATAGCTTCAGCATTAACTTGCCGAGCACTCGTCTCAGCTTTGGCTTTGATGTCTGCCATCGTCTCAGTTTGGGTGTTGATGTCGCCCAGTCCCACGCAGCCGCTGTCCCTGCGCAGCCGCTTTTGCGGAACCTCTTCCTCCTCGCTGCTGCAGGTGCAACTAGCACTGCTCTCAGAGTCCGATCCTACCAGCTCCGGATCCGCCTTGTGCAGGACCGGTACTGAGAGCGAGGTGTGTGTGAGCTCCGCCTCGCGGGGTGTTAAGATCTCCTGTGGTCTGCTTGGAAGTGCCACCAGCTTGGCGCGCGGAAGAACTTGAATCTCTGGAGGCACCTCCAAGGAGTCCGCAGGAAAGGTCACCATCACGGGGTCCAGCACGCTGGTCTCCTCCAGTGCTTCAAGGCACAAGCCCAAGCGCCCAGTGAGATGTCCCTCACCCACATCCACCACTAGGGCCCAGTCGCCGGGTCTCGCCGAGCGCGTGGGCAAGGGCAAGACACGGTCCCAGCTGCAACTCACGACCTCTTGCGTATGTAGAACCTTGGCTTGATGTTGTCCGCTTTCGTTCAAGCCCAAATAGGCCGCGAGCTCTCCAATCCCAGCAATCAAGCAAGGCATTCCCAGTGCGATTGACTCGCGAGTATCGTCGATCATGTTGTCCTTGACGTCATAGCCTGAGGCTGCACAAAGAGATCCATGTCGCGCCAAGCGAGCTGCCTGTAAGGTCGCCACAGTGATCACACGGTCGTACTGAGCAGAACATGCAGTGGTCGATACACCTGCCACCGACGTGTCAATCACCTGGGATTGAGGTACCATAGACCAATTGAAGGCACCGGGTCTCGTCAGTGACTCTGCCATGGCTGGCAACGTCAAGCTGGGTAAGTCTATCTTGAAGAGCAGTCTTCTCTGAAGAACGTGAGATGGCTTGTTTTCTTACAGTATTTATTTAAAAAAAGAACAACTACTACTAAGCGCTTGCAGAGAATCTATGACTTTGCCACCGCAGTTGCATGAAAAGGGGATGTGGCTCAGACTCTGTGGCTCAGTCGCTTTAATTTAATCCTGCTTTCGTAATCCTTTATCCTTTATACAGTGGTCGTCCACCACCAGCCAGGAACCACGGAGTAATCCTGTATGCCCTACACATGGTTCAGCAGACTCCCTTGTGCCGAGATGCCAGAAAATGTTCCCGTGAATGGCATTGAATGGCCATCTATTCATGAATTTGCTTTGGGGCAGACAGCTGCGTTGTGGTTTATGGGCCATGGGATTAGGTGGAAGTCTTTTTTGTTGAGTCCTACCCTCTCAAAGTTCTTCTTGTAGTTGCAGTACGTGGCCTGTGCCCTTGACAGCAGTGGATAGCTCTTGCATTCGTATTCGTCGTTTCAACAAGCAAAGCAAGACCATCAAAGGCCGCAAAAAAGAAACCACCGGGGATCTAAGAGAATGCTAATCCCAGATTCTCCAGAAAGAGACCACAATCCCCAGAACGGTCTGCGTCGAAGCCTATGCCGTCCAATCCCCACCAACAAAAAGGAGCAGTGCCATGTTCTTCCATAGCGGTCTTCAGAGCAAATCCAAACAGGGGCTTTTCGTGGCCGTAAATCCATCGTCTGAAATTCACGTGACGACATGTCCTCACCGTGGAGATCTCTGATCGCTCAGTACGCAAACGCAGCATAAGATCTCTCTGCCCAGCGGCTTGTCATTCTTATCACCCTCCTCCTTCCGGTTTTGCCAGGGCCTCTCAGGGCCGAGTCTTGGATCCACAGCGATGAAACGCGCGGACGGAAAACCGCTGAAGCACGGACTCACTCGCCTCCGTCGGCCGTTATCCTCAGGCACCGCCACCTGCAAGCAAGCAGGGACGGTTTTTGGTTCGCCCATCTGATCGTCATCTTGGAGGACTTTTCCAGGTGCGAGGAAGGGGACATTGGCTCAGAACCAGACCCACATCCAACAGATCCCCATGAGGTGTATCCCCATGATGATCCACATGTTTCATGAGTTCTTTTTGCTTCAAATCCCCATGTTTCACACCATCGAGTCATCGGTTACGGTTTTTCACGGGTCAATCACCACTGGCCGCAGCTGAACGGCGTGTCAAACAGGTACTCGTTGCCTATGATCCAAACGATCAACCCATATTGGAAGTGATGACGGATGTCTGAATCGATCATTTCTGTCCAACATGGTCTAACCATCCTCGGTGTGATGTGCGAGTGCATCCAAAACTTCCCGGCCCGACGCTGGCCCGGCCCCATTGCTCTGAGGTCGGGAGCCCGCCATCGCTCCCCGCACCCCACGAACCGCCGAGGGGCGTCGCCGCGCATCATTGCGGCCACCGTGGAGTCGCCGGCGCCGCGGGCCTGCGACCGGTCGAGACCGGGCATCGGCGGTTCCGGTGCGACGGAGACGGATGTGCATGGGAAGCCGGTAGAGATGGATGGAAGAAACAGAAAGAGGACGAAGAAGGAGAAATAAGAAGTGGGGCGGAAAAGAAGAGGGGGCAAGAAGAAGAAAAGCTGGAAGAAGAAGAAGAAGAAGAAGCTGGAAAAAACAGAAAGAAGAAGCAGGTGAACAAGAGATGGAACTACAAATTCCATGACTTACAGTAATAATACATGACGTGCCTAGGTGAGTATATTGATGAACGCGGATGGGTCTTGATTCTCACCACACCACCCGCTCTGAATCACAGAGTATCACAGAATCCCAAGGTTGCGTGGCCCATGGATTCTGTAGGTGGTCAGTTGAACATGTTTAACTCGGTGTTGAATCAAAAAGTTTCCCAGTTGCTCCTTTTCTCGCAACCTGCTCACCATCCCCTGCTCATCAAAGCTCGGTGTGAACCCTTGTGAATCCCCAAACCACTGGGCATTCACAAGAAAAACCACTGGCTTCCCCTCCCAGCACCTCCCCCGTTCTGCCGAATACTCATGGGCAACACTTCTCCTAGACTCCCTGAAATAATCTTGGAAGTGGCTAGCACCACCTGCCAGGTCTTCGGAAGTCATGGCCATCCGACTCAAACTCGGGGCCGTGTTTCCATCCACGTCACCTGACACTCAGGGATTTTCAGGGAGGCTCCTGATGTCGCCATGTCGCCGCCTCCGTTTTTCCGGGCACCGTCGAACGCATGGTCGAACGCTGTTCCTCTTCCGCATCGAAACCTGCCTTGGGCGGCTTGTAGGCCTGCTTCTTCACCGTCTCGCCCACGCCATTCGCCGTGGTCGCCTGAGACACCTGATACACGGACGCTTCGGAGTGTGCGAGGGACTCGGACATTCGGCGCCAGGGGGCCTTGGATAGACAGGACAAAAGCTCCAAAAAAAGGAGTTCAGGGGTTCTGGTTTGGATTGGAATAAGGAACCATGGCACGTGCTGAAAAAACGACTCAGATTCTGCATGCTGATGTCTGTTGGCAAACCACTCATATTATGGGTATAAGATGGTATAACTGTGGAACTGTGTGAGGAACTGTGTGAGCAAAACCTGCTTGATGTTGGTTCTTAAGAAGAACACAAATCTAGAATCCAGACTCTAGACATCCCCAGACCCCAGACCATCCCAAGCGGGTGGCTCAATGCTGTCGGGAGAATCACGTCCAAACTGCAGGATCATCATGGGATGAGTCGGAGATGCTCCACAAGAAGATCCTTTCTCATGCGCGCCTCCTCCACCGAGACATCCTGATTCGAGGCACGTCCTGGTCTCCAGACCACCTGAACCAGTCCGGAATGGCACGCAGCACGACAAGCACATGGAACAAGTACAAGAACAACAAAGACATCCACAGTCGTTGGTTTTTTGGGGTTCACGGAACGGGAACCAGTACCTTCTTCAAGGATCAGGGCACGAGTCGTGCTGGTTTCAGGGCACATGCATACACATGTGCATCTGGACAAACATATCGTGCCTCGTACAGCTGTTCAGAGGAGGAGGTGAGCACCTGTCAGCGATGGTCGTCATGCATGCTGTGATAATGCTGTGATCATCCACCGCTGTGTTAGAAGAATGTTGGGCCAAGCTACTTGCCCTGGACTCATGCGAAATAGCTTCAGCATGCTTCAAATCTGTATCCAATCTCAAGACTCAGTGACTAATGACCTGTCTGACAGAGGGGTCTTCCTCCCTCTTCACGGACTGGATCCAAACTAAATCTTCCTGCTGGTGGTCAAATCCCCCAAAACAACAAGCGCAAGCGCACTCTCCTCCGAACCGCGTGCGCAGACCTTCTCACTCTTTGCGCTGCCGAAGACGCACGCCGCGCCGTGGCGTGACGGGCGTCCACCGCGCGCGCGGGGCGCCTTGGCTCCAGTCAGGGCGTTCCAAAGCGTGAGGCCGTTGTCCACGCGCATCCGCGGGAAGAGCACGGCCGTCAAGAGGTGACGTCCTCAAAGAGAACGGCCGTTCGTCCCGATTTTGAACGGGTGCTTGAAACATGTCGAGGTCTTTCTATTTTTTTCTTTCTTTGTTTCTAATAGCAATACGGCCTCCTCCCCTAGTAGATATGGGTGTCTATTAAACTAGGAAGACCTCCCTGGCAACGACCTCCTGGAAGCTTCGGGAAATAGACCAGTCTACCCACTGGGCCAGGGTGTCTCCCGAGGCTTGAAAGACATCGAAAGACACGCGACCAGGATAGGTCGCGTTCGCAGAAGGAAAGGGTGGATTTGGGACACGTCCTGAAGAGGCTTTGAGGTCAACAACGTTTAGTTGTCACCTCTCCATGGTGGATTTGCATGTGATCATGGTGGATTTGCATGTGGATGCCTTTGGGACCCTGACAAATCGTGTCACACTGCCCAGTTGAGTGCGAGCATGATGCTCATATTTGGTCAAGAGAAAACAAGGGAGCTCTTCTGGAGCACATGGTGCATATGGCGAGTGAACGAAGGGTCGAGATGAACAAACATCACCTACATCCGCTAGTAACTTGCTACTCAAGTGAATTCTAGCAAAAGATCATACAAAATCCAGCTGCAGCTTTCCTTGCGGCCCAAACGAATCCTTCGTTTAAAAGGAAACCACCATGGGAGCGACCGAACGCACAACATCAGCTCAGACAACAGAAGAAGAAGAAGAAGAAGAAGACGAAGACGAAGACGAAGAAGAAGAAAACGTGACATGTGCGCAAAAGCTCTTCACAGATTCATCTCCCCATCCCCGCCCTCCGCAGCTGAGCCCCCTGACCGTCAGGTCCCCAATCCGCGCTCACTGCGCAGTTAGCTTCACACTTGGAGACACGGACGAAGTCACACCTGCGCAGCGAGTGTCAGGTGTTTGACCGGCACGGTGCCAAAGCGTTCTTCCGTCGCTGTCTTCGCGTGCGACACCGTGTGTTGTTTCACCACCGGCGCCGCCTTCGTTTCGCTGTCAACACCATGTGTCGAAAAGGGACCACACCTTTGAAGCCTCCAGGAACAAGTGCATCGCTACGAACGTAACAAGAAGCGAACGTAGAAACAAGAATTGTTCAATTAAGTTTAATCCAAAACACCAAAAGCGCAAGTCGACCGTCGGACCGAAAACATCGAAATCTTCGGACCGAAAGACCGGTGGAAAGACCGGTACCGGTTGCGGCTCCCCGTCGGACTCCCCGACGGACTCCCGTCTCCACAACCGTCTTCCGTCCGGAAACCCGGCGAAACCCGGGGAGCGCGCTTCGCATCGCTGCGGCCGTAGAAATCCACCTCGCCCGCCAAGTTCCTGCGCTGGTTCCCGGTTCCCGGTTCGTTCGGTGGAGTTTCGGGTGAAGGAAAGACGTTAAAACATGGTGCACTCTGGTGAACATGACACCACCATGGTTGAAAAAACACACGTAAACAAAACTGGTACACAATACATGTGCATAAATATATATATATATATATATATCCATGCATATATGATTATATATTGTCATATTGTGTTTGAATGAATTGTGATATAAGTTTATTGCAGAAGTTCAATATGAAGGACACCGATGTGTAGGACCCTGAACAGGGTGATGTTCGTTCGGTGAAGAGGATATTGAAACACCACATGGATGGCCCAAGGGCCTATTCGCATGCAAATGTCTGAAGGAAAGCAGGCATATGCGGCATAGACTCACATAGATTCTACAAAATGTAACCCATCACCCTAAGGAACATCTCTTGCAGAATGTCAAGAAGGCAGTTTCTTCGTAGAGGATAAACCATGATGCATCTGCATTGTAGGATAGAATTAGTTCTTTTGTGCTCAAATGATTGCCTTCAGAACATGCGGGTCGAAAAAAGTGTAAAACAATTCCGCCTGGTGACCAAGCCGTCCTTCCGAAAGCACCACCCTGCTGTCTGACCTCTTATGAATGGACCCACCCACGTCTCCGTGCATCCGTCACTCGACCGCCAGGGCGGTCCCGAAGCCGGCAATGCACACGAGCGAGCCGAAGTGGTTGAAACGGATGAAGTTCCTATGCGCCTGGCGGTCGCGGTCTGGTCGATTCTGGGTTCGTGGTGAGACACCCGTCCCGTCATGGTCCAAAAAAATCACGGAAGCGAAGGAAAGTGGAGGAGTGTACAGTAATTAACCACTTTTCCGGACAAAGAAGCAAAACGGAGTGGGATGTGCCCAAGAGCACGAAAGCAAACATCGGCTGATCGCCTATCTATACATGCATGGAAACTGCCTGCCTTTTCGGTCAGGACCTTCGCCAGGGTCACCGTCTGCTTTTCCGCATCCCAATGCCAAAGCGTTACCTATCGTCGACTGTGCGTGCTGAACTTCAGCGATGACGAGGATTTTGAAGATCTTGGAGTTTGCCAGCACGACATCAGGAACAAAGGGCATCGCTACTAGGCGCAAGAAGCTACTATATGGAGGCCATCGCTATGAGGGTGGAGGCCATTACTACTGGGAACAAGAAGCTACTAGTGAGTCAAAAAGAGGCTTAGGACATACAACACACAATCCTGAAGAACAGAACAGGACAGAACATCTCCTGCTCTGAAAAGAAAATCAGTTTCAAGTACCAAACACTTCAGGATCCTCTGACTGTCAGCAAAACTTGCTCCAAGTGATGTCAACATCTGCCACAGGTCGTGGTGGATGCACAGAGATCGATCAACAGGATCGAGTTCTCTGCCTTGGCTGGCTGATAGCCTCTGATCAAAATGAACTCATCTCTGGTAGGGCTCCACTCCACCGCCTGCGAAGACAGCGTTCTCACAGTGCTGCACATGCGGAACATCCAAGCCATGAGCGGCATCATGGGCATCATGGTTTCGGGCTAAGATAAGGGTCCCCACAACTCATAGGGGGAGTTTAGCAGCTTAGCAATATAGTTTGCTATTAGGTTCGAGGCCATCACTATGTCCTTCTTTCCTTTTTGCTAAGTTTGAGCCAGTTCCGGCCTGGACTGCCATGCCCATCTGCTGTTGTGCATTCTCCGTCTCCGTCAAGTCCTCTCAGCTTGCGGAAGAAAGACTACACGCTTGGAGCAATGCGTGGCTAAAAAGCAGGGACCTTGAGGTTCCATGTGTAATGAGGTATGTGATCAATCGGCTCCTATCTGTGACCTGCAGCTGGACAGGGAAGGACAAGGTCGATCCCTGATGGATACTGACTATAGTTATAGTATATACCTATAGAGCCTTGAGTGTCCTTTGTGCTGCAGCCAAGAAGGAACCTAGCTCACAGCCAAGCCTTTGGAAGACATCAGACTTCATCCAATGGGGTGGATGTGGTAGTGATTTTCTCTCAAAAGTGGAATCTGTCTACTCTCCCTGGAACTAACATGGAAGTGGAAAACCACCTGTTTGTAGTGGAACATGGTCTTCCTGGCGGGGCCATTCTCCACTTCCATGTTAGTTCCAGGGAGTGTATTTCTTAAGAAAAACTGAAACCAATACAACGTCCTGATCACCTTGTCACCAAGCATCCCAAACAAACAAGTCAAGCGTCTGTCCATGTCGCTAGGTTAACCTGGAACCCCCAAGAAAATCCGAACGAAATGGATGTTTCCCCAGTCCCAGCCATTTCCTAAAGGATGATGCATATCTCAATTGCCATCATTGTGTTCCAAGCATTTAAACTCCTGCTTGGGACTGAATTTCCAAGCTGATACCCGTGAGGTCTGTCTGGGTCTGGAGGAACCTAGCGGAGTCTCTCGCTATGTCACCCCGGGTCGCTATGTCACCTCGGGTGAACCGATCAGGGAACGGACCGGGGGACTGGGGGAGGTTGAGTTCCTCGCCCTCAGAGCGGAGGGCCGAACAGCGCGGCGCCGTCCTTTTGAAAGCCGCCCCCTGCGGACGCCAATAACCTGGCGTTTCTTCACCGAACCGAGAGGAGAGAGGAAGACCGATTAGCGGAGTCGGACAGCACACGGTGAAACAGAACAAAAAAGCTGCCTAGGAGCAAGAACGCTACTAGGGGCTCCTGGCCTTACTACTAGGAGCAAGAACGCTATACTAGTAACAAGGGCATCGGACCCCGAACGGAGCGAGCGGGCGAGCACGCTACGGCTATGAATTCGGGGCACTCCTGGCCGAAAACTACGAACGGAGCAAGGACGCTACGAACGATGCTAGTGATTTGACACGGTTTCCACCTCGTCCAACAGAAGACGACCGGTCGGGTTTTTCAGGAGTCCGACCAGCGACTCCCGGTCGCGACTCCCGACTCACCTGCGAACGTTGAACTCTCCAAGCTGCGGACGTTCGGCCATGCGTGGCCGGAGAAATGATGCAATGAGATATTGTGAGATATTGTGAGATGCGGCCTGTAAAATTGTGAGATATTGCGATCCACCAAATGATAGGGCCTTGGCTAGTTGCCCCAAGACCGAGCCTCCCAAGCCTGGTGCACAGGGCACCGTCTTCACGATCGATCCATCCTCTTGCACGTGTGACACGACGCGCAGCGGCAGTGTGGACTCAACACAGGCCGGGCAAACAACTTGGAGACACCATAGTAGCTCTTACCAGAGTCATCCACCTGGCAGATGCAGCATTGTTCCCTATAGAGCGAGCAAAAGGAGATAGAAAAGGGCACCTGGGGTACGTCAAGAAGACCTTTTGGAAAGAAGCCCTTCCTCTGCTCGCTGGACGTGTTGGTGTGGGAGTCTCCAACGGCTGCACGATGCTGCGCGTGCGCATCGCGCGCGTGGTCGCAGGTCACCGCATCGGTTTTTTGCCTCGGTGGTGCAATGCACCAGCAGGGCACTGCCACTGCTGCACCACTTGATTTCAGCCAGTTGGCCTCGGAAAAGGATGCTCAACTGAAAGGGTCATACCAGAGATGGAGACATGTGGTGGATCAGTCTTCATCAGGGGTCTATATTATGAGACATGGTCAAAAAAATTTGTGTGCGGCTATTATATACTTGTCAGATTTGTCCCCTATCGTTTTCCAGGGTTTGGAGCAAGCGCTCTTATGCGGCCATAATCATCGCAAAATTGGTTGAAGGCACTTCATATGTCTTGAATGGGACTCAACATAAGGACTGCAAACCAAGTGCATGGTTTTCATCATATTTGGTGGTGCTGGTCTAATGTTTGATTGTCATAGTGTTCAGTGTCAATCTTGGATAAGGGGGCATATAAGGGGTGTGTTCAGGTGCCAAACATAAGGAGGTCAGAAAACGTGTTTTTGATGATGATCCAATTACAAAAAATGCAGTGAACCATACCCAAGAAATGGCAGCTACACATACCCAGCAGACATAAATTCACCACGAGGTTCGTGAAGGTTTCATTGGATGAACTATAACTCATTATGATTTCTTGCAAAAGGTATAATCTGATGCTTCACGCGCTCTGGGTGACTCATGTGATGCCGAAGATGTGGTGCCCCAAAAGCATTAAAAACCTAAATGTCCGGGACTCCGCTGAAGCGACAAGTGCCATGTGCATCGCAACTCCGGTGCCTGATTCGACCTCAGCCTTCATCTTCTCGGTCTGGCACCAGGGGAAAAAACGGCGGAGCTCGAGGTCATGCGGAACATCGGTTTGGATGAAGCCGACGTTTGGATAAAGCATACTACTTCGCGTTCTCCTGCGTGCCGAACATGCCATGGTCACGAAGTCATGGTGGCTCTTCGCAGCTTTGGGCACCGACAAGCAAAGCCAAGTGCCCAGGTTGTTTGATCGGCTCCAAAGTATCGGAAGACATTGGAAAACAACATCCTAGTTCCGCACCAGAGAGAAAAAGAACAAGCACGAACCTTCATTCCAACAAACCATATCTTTGCGCTGCAAGCTTGCAGGCAGGAGTTCTCCCTATCCACACCCTTGAGAAGCAGGAAGCATGGCTACTGCCCGCTCCATGAGTATTTAAAACAATGCAATCCTGGTATGGCGGTGCAAGATGGAAGGTCCATCAACCCTATGTCCATTGAACATGTGTGTGTGTGTCAGACTAGGCAAAAATTGAACCACACAGCGCTCACCGATCTCCAGCATGGCATGTTCCTCTGAACTTGAAGAAAGGAGGAATGACATGTGCAACATCTCGAAAGCAGGTTGACAGTCGTTGAATGTGTGGGGGACAAAATATGCAGGAAAAATGCATGGCTTGGGTCTATCCTATTTCCAGTGGATGATGATGGTTCAGTTGCAGGCCTTGTTCACAAAATAGTGATTTAATTGTTGATAGTTACTGACTGTTACTGGTAATAGGCCACACCCAATGCATGGTCTACAGATCCATCACCGCACTCGCCCTCACCTCTCAGCCCGTCCCAACCTTCGAGAGACCGCCCTCTTGTGCCACCTCGCGTCGCTGAAGAAACGACGTGTGACTGGTCGTCGACTGGGTGCTTGTCGCGACTGTGCGCTCTCGTTGTGGTGCCGCGCATTTTGGTACATGGTGGTCACTTTTCGTGGCAGGCGCAAGGGAAACCTCGTGCTTTGGTGCTCCAAAGTCGACTTTTCGTGACAGGTGCAAGGGATCGGAGCGGTTTTACTTCCATGTGTAGATTTCGTGGCAGGCACAGCGCTTTGGACATGGTGGTAATCTTCGACGTGCTCTGATTTCGTGACAGGTGCAGTGAATCGTGACTTTTGGACATGTGGCTTGTTTTCAGAAATCGTTGCTGGTGGAGTACCGTGTGGACCTGGAAGTGCACATTTCGTGGCAGGTGCAGTACTTTGTGGACCTTGAGTGCAGATTTCGTGGCAGGCACAGCACTTTGTGAACCTGGAAGTGCAGTTTCGTGGCAGGCACAAGCACTTTGTGAAGGCAGGACTTTGTGAACCTCGAAATGCAGATTTCGTGGCAGGCGCAGCACTTTGTGCACCTCGACGCTCTCGATCTGAAGACCTCTACATCGCATTCTGTGCTATGCTCTCAGATGTGTGTTCTAATGATTGTGCTCTCATATGTGTGCTCTCTAGGCCTCGACCTCTAGATGTCTAGACCTCTCAAACTCTAGCATTGTTGGTTGTAATTAGGCCTTTCGCAGAGAAGTTTTGATATCTCTCGATCTGAAGATCTCCAGATCGCTAGACCTCTGGAACTCGCGACAACTAACTGTCTGGATATAGGCATGGAGCTGTGATCCTAGATCTCTCTTAATCTCTACTTGCATCGCTTTCCCGACCTCTAGACCTCTGTCACCTAGAGAGTATTGTTTCTAGGCCTCTAGAAGCAGAGATCGTTTCTTTTTTTTTGCAACTTCAACTTGCATGCTCTTTTTCGCTTGAATTACCCCTCTACATGGTGGTTCTATCTACTCTAGGATGACGATAATTCTTTGCACATGGTGATAGTAGGCTGGAGGCCATCGTTTAAAAAGGGCTGGAGGCCATGGCTGTCACTCAAAAGAGTAGTTCTTTGTCTAATCGTACCGTTCGCCCCGTTCGCTCCGTTCGGTTCACGGGGGCCTCCCAAACGGTGACCTCCGCTGGAGCGGCCACCCGCTGCAGGTCGTCCCGGAGATCCGGCACCTCGAAGATACCGTGAGGTTTAGACCTCTGCACGTCCTTTAGCACATGCGGTTTGGAGATCTGTTTAGACATTGTAAGTATAAACAGCATGAAAAAGGTAGGAACTCGCTGAAAATTCATTTCATCCTCTGTTTGGGAAATGCATTTTCCACTATCAGTTCTCAACCTCAAGCTTCAAGCGTTCCTCGAAACCATGAGTTGCTATCACCTCACACGACACCATCTTCACCTGGTGCTCAGTCCCCAAATACCTACCCCAATTGGACGGTAATTCAACGGACTTGAACTTGGTCAGCCGCACGTGCAGCACGGTGTGGGAGAACTTCCAGCGATGGCCACCTCCAACCTACTAGCGATGATGGCCTCCAGCCGGCAACGAAAAAACGAACCCCCCCGAAGATCGACCCGCTATTTGCTAGTAATTACAATTCTAATTAAATTCTTTTTGTTACTAGTAGTAAGGCACTTGTTACTAGTAGCGATGCACTTGTTCCTAGTAGCTTCCTGCCCCCCCGAAGGCGATCCCTTTTTCACGCCGCTTTTGGGCGTTCAGGTGTCAATTGCAAATCGTAGTCGTAGAGCGCCACCGCTTCCCCGTTGGCCTGCGCCCACATGTGCTGCGTGGAGCTTCTAATGCCGATCTGTCTGGCCTGTCTGGCCCCACTTGCACATGCCGAATCTGCGTGTGGGCTTCTGAATCCTCTAGCTGGTGGGTGCCCAGACTCATCCAGATTTACGATGATCGACATAATCTATTCTCTGCAAAGCATGAATGCTGAGCACGCTCATCATGCATTAGCTACCAGTAGCAATTTTGCTGGCGGTTCCAACGCCTACCTCGCCACTAATTCATCTCATGTGGACGTGGGCCAACTGGATGGTGTGCCGCACAAACCCAATGTGCTAGTTTCCTGGACCTGCCGCACCCCCGATGCGCTTGAGGTTCAAGTTGTTCTCCCCCATCCCTCACCATCCTCATCTTCAGGTCTTACTGTCAGGGCTCTTGGCACATGGGGAAAAATGATCGTTAACAACTCATCTCAACAGGTCCAAATCCCCGAGACGCTTCAGTCCACCCTCACTGGGTCACCTTCATTTCTGGGCAGGGAAGATCAGCAAACTGAGCTCAGAAAGGCAGTGACCGTAGCCACGACGCGCGACGTGGCTTGGTGGTCTTCTTCGGAAAAGTGGCCAAAGGCTTTGAAAGCATCTCTGGTCTGCGGCTGAACAACTTTCATCAACTTTCCAAACCCCTGCGAATTCACTATATATATAATATATATATATATATAGCATGAAATGTATATGTCACATGTCATTGAATATCATTTAAGAGAAAAAGGACCGCCCTATCCCTTCATCCATCCGATCGTCCTCCCCCCCACCGAGTCGAGCTTCGCTCCGTCTGAGCGATCCGTCGCCTCGAAGTACCCCGGATCCAGCGGCTGCAGAAAGGCCGCCACGCGCATGGCGCCGGTGGCGCCGGCGCCCTGCCGTGCCAAATGGGTCAAGACCTGCGCAGGCTGCCGATGGGTCACAGTCGCTGGGGAACGTTGAGTGAAATCATGTAGGGCAAGGAAATCCCATCGAAAAAGATCCTCCAATCCGTCACCTTCCTCCAGCTTGTCCAGGAAGTCGCGCATGTCTTTTTTTCACTCTCGCTAGCGCCAGAAATCACAATAGGGGTCGGTGAGAGATGCTGGCTGGTCCCGATACTTCTGCGCGAAGAGGTTCCTCGGCTCATCTGAGTGGCGACGATAAAGTGGACAAAGTCAGCGACGAACAGGTTGGGATCCCGGAGTCATACACAGTTGTGATGTGGATGGGTTGGTTTTGGCAAGACCAAGCTGGTTGCTATCCAGACCCCAGGAAAACTAAAAAAACAGCACAAGAGGATGTCGGTTCGCCTGACATCGTTTCCTGCGGGAAAGAAACGAAAAGCTCGCGTCTTCCGGCTTGAAATGCCCAAGCGAACCGATCCAGGTCCGGCCGCATGTTTTCATGGGTAAAGCCCAGCACCGGTCCCATGAATGAATTGGCGCCCGTTTTTCTTTTTTGGCCTTCACACAATCCGAAGTCTGTTTGCGCCCGGTCATTCAGAACTCTGCTCAAACCCAGTGTAGGTCCCGCAGGCTCCAATAACTCCAGGATGGCGTTCATGGCGTGTTTCGCTTTGGATCCGGCCTCGTTCCTCGTGTCTGCCCGGGGCGAGGTTGGTCACACGCCTTCGACCCAGAGCGTGGTTTCGTCCAGCCGTGCAAAACATCCCTTAAAGGGTTCCTTTGGGCAGCTATCAGCTGGAGGACAGCTATGAACAAAACCAGGTTCTGAAACGGCAGAAATGGCTGAAGCCCGAGCTGCTTGCCACTCCCAAGCACGGCACAGTCACCCACGTAATTCAGACAACCTTGTGTGGTCTGTTGGGTCATGATTTTCAAGACCCATTCAAACATAATGCATTTCAATCTCCGGGAACTTCCACATCAACACCCCTGAGATTGTGAAGAATTTGACTCCGAGAAAGAACAGAAAGAACTAGTGCCAATGCTAATAAATGCATGATATACAGAAAGAGAGCCCATGAAAGCTCTAGTTGCAAGACGTTGCTCGCTGCCACGCGCTCTTGATTGACATCCTCAACAAAAGGTGTTGTTATGGAGTGCCTGGGTCTTGGATGAGCCTCTCTGGTCAGGCTCGGTCATTGCTCTCCGGCACCCGGAGAAGACGATGAATTCGAATCCTGAAGTGGAAGGTACTTTTACATAACAAGCCAAGACACGTCACAAATGACATCATACCTTTTGATTTGGGAATCTGCTTGGCTTTTAAAGTTGGCACGTGGCTAGGCTTCGGGTGAAATGTCTATAAATAAATGAGCCGATTGACATTCTGGGCTTCCACATTGGGATCACACAACTTGTTACTCCAGCTTCAGAGTCGATGCATCGTTGTCCTACAAGGTTCAGCGCAGCTTCAATGAGCAAATCCGTAGACCACAGTCAGTTCCTTTGCATCCAACTATCGAAGCTACAGAAGACTCGAAGGCAAAGGCTTTCAAGAATCATGGTCTTGACTGATTGTCTGGAAAGCCAAGCTGCAAACCACCCAACTCTTTTCCTATCTGGAGAACACGTCTTCCAGGTGTCATGTTCTTTCATCCAGACCAGCTCACTGAAGGCCATAAAATGACATGCGGAGCCCAACTGGGGGCCATGTCTGCCACTTCAAACACGAGTGAAAGCATGTGAAAGCGTTCCTGCCCTGATTGGGCTCGACTCACACCACTTGACTCACTATGTCTACCACCTTTACTTTGACGGGGCTTGAATCTTGACCGTTCTTGATACATACTGGCTAGCTTGCCACCCAGGCACGAACCTCACTAAGCCTGCCACCTCTCTCGATCTACTCCTCATCCAGATGGACTCATGAGTACTTTCCACATGTTCAAAGATCACGTGACGCACCCCGTGTCAGCACCTCCGTGTCTGTCCTGAAGCACCGTCCGAGAGTACTTGGTGCCACCAGCCGAAGGAAACCGTCTTTTGACTGTGAAAAATCCATCCAACAACATCTGATCTGGCAAACCAGTGGAAGACTCCTTTGGAAGTTCATCTGCCTAGTTTTTTTACCGCAAAGTCAACCAAGGAGCAAGATGCATGCACAGAAATCCAACAAGGGATGTAAGATGATGTCAGGCCACCCCCGAAAAGAATAACACCTCAAGCGCGAGACAAACTTGAAATGTCCCGGGAAACCTCCTCAGTAGGGTACAACAGGAATCGCCTCAGAGAATCTCAGAGATCATTACAGGTCAAAACACTGGCCACAACCAGTGCTGCCAACAGGACAGGAAACCAACTCGCCCGCTGGGAAAGAAACCCAGTACAGTAAGCTTGCTCCGGGAACTTCCACATCAACACCCCTGAGATTGTGAAGAATTTGACTCCGAGAAAGAACTGAAAGAACTAGTGCCAATGCTAATAAATGCATGGTCCTCAACAAAAAGGTGTTGCTATGGAGTGCCTGGGTCTTGGATGAGCCTCTCTGGTCAGGCTCGGTCATTGCTCTCCGGCACCCGGAGAAGACGATGAATTCGAATCCTGAAGTGGAAGGTACTTTTACATGACAAGCCAAGACACGTCACAAATGACATCATACCTTTTGATTTGGGAATCCGCTTGGTCTTTTTAGGTGAGCTTGACATAGTTGGCACGTGGCTAGGCTTCGGGTGAAATGTCTATAAATAAATGAGCCGATTGACATTCTGGGCTTCCACATTGGGATCACACAACTTGTTACTCCAGCTTCAGAGTTGATCCATCGTTGTTCTACAGTATGTCTAAGTCTGACCTCTCTATCTCAATCCCCAGAACTTTCACAAGTCACAGACAAAAATCAAAAGAGTGCTTGCCGAAACCGCTTGGTAACGAAGGGGACATGAACAATGAGGTGGCGGCCACGTTGTTTATCATGTTCATCGCTGGTGCTGGCGCTTGCTTATCATGTTCGTCGGTTTTAGCCCAACTATTTCAATTGAATCTACCACAGAATCAACTCTTTCCTATCCGGGGATTGCTGTGAGGTCCTATCTAGATCAGCGCCTGCTCCTCACGCCTTTGCTGTCTCTTCTCGTAGCCCAGGAGCTTCCAGCGCCTTTGCGCTTCCTCCGCCGTACAAAAGTGACACTTCCGGCACCTGTCCCCGAAGTGGCAATGCCGCGGCGGCTCCTGGGCAAAAACCAAGTCTGCCAAGGTGAGGAGGAGTGGTATGGGGTGGTGGCGCCCCTTGTTACTAATAGCGATGGCCTCCAACCTGGTAGCGTCCTTGCTACTAGTAAGTAGTAATGGCCTCCAACCTAGTAGCTTCCAGTTACTAAGAAGCTTCAAAGACATGACAAGAAATGGAGATTGTTTTAGATCAAAGATCACTGATTGATTGCTACAAGATCAACCATGATCAACCCACATGCAGACGAATGCGAGACTGCACTTCAAATACTTCAAAGAGGTCCCAGAAGCATACAGGACGGTCCCTTTTTATTGACACTTGTTGGGACACAGATAAAGGATGATAAAGGAAGATCAAGGACATAAAAAGCAAAGAAGTTGAGCTGAAGTCCAAGGTGCACCGTAATGAAATCTGCATGGCTCACATTTACCTGCTTCATGCAATGCCCAAACCGCCATCCGCTCTGCTTCCGGCGCCGATGGCTGTGGCTGGGTCGTTCTTGGAATCAGCTCGTGCAACCTAAGCCGTGCAGCCGCACTGGAGTGGCCCGTCTCGGCACTCCCCGCTCCTGTGGCCGGGCGCGGCGGGCTGTCGCGCTCTGGCGCCGGCGCCGCCAGGCGCGGCGGCGCGGACTGGCGCCGGGCGGGGTGGGTCCGGGGCGAGGAGTGAGACGCCGTGAGCTCTTCACCTGAAGAGTCGGGTGCCAAGTGGAGAAAGGTCCTTTGAACTGAAAGGATGCAGCTCACCTCGTCACGGAAGGGTCGGAAGCGGCGTAGCACGTGCCCCTCCGGAGGCCAGGTGAACATCCAGAGTAAGAAGAATAAGACATAAATAGCATGCGGCCTGTGCACAGGGGCTGCGGATGGACATGCAATAAAACAATTGATGCATCAATGACTTGGCTTGTTGTCACCCCAGAACAGACATCGAAGAAAGGCAAAAAGAAGGATCATCTCATCACACTGTCTAATGGTTCGCTTGCACTGCTTCTGGATATCATCCAAAGAATCCACCAAGCTTTCCCAACACAAAGGCCCTCACGGAGGGGTTGACCCCACACAACGGTTCTGTCATGCTGAATAAGTTTCACTTAGAAATACCTCAAAAACCTGTCCAAGCGGATGACAACCAAGTCCTTCCAAGAAATTGGAACTTCGCCATTCTCTGTGACTCTTGCCATGGACCAGGAATGACATCTCCTTGAGTGGCTTTGGGGGCTCTTCGTTGCCCCACCCAGTGTCAGTAGGGCGGTCATGGTCATTTTCTAGGTCCCACCGCGACCCCTGCGACATCATCGACCTCATCGACATCCGACACCGTCTGCGAGAGCGAGGATCAAAAGCTTCTCCTCCCTCTCTTTGCACTTGTCCCGATCCTCAAATGGCAGGATCAGGATGAAGTTGAACCACAAGAGAGACGGCCGGACGGAAGCCAACCAGGCAGCTACTGGAAATGATAGAAACACAAGATCCCCACTTGCATGTCGAACAAATTTGATACAATCTTAGCGCACTACCTTATCCAAATAGCTCTTTGTAGAGCCAATCCTCTCCCCTCATAAGCAGCAGTTGACAAGCTCTAGACTCTAAGACTCTAAGACTCTAGCAGGCAGCCACATTGAAGATGATATGTGTCAAACCCTGCCAGAGTTCGAGTCCCTTGAAAGTTTTGCCCAGGATCCTTCTTGCCATTCCAGAAGCTGGTGCCTTTGCCAGAATCCGTCTTCTTCTCGTACTGCCAACCACCTGCCTCGTAGAGCTTCTTGATGTCCTCAGATCTCGTGACGTAGCTGGCTCCAACTTGGAACTGAGGTAAGACCGAATTCACAGGTCTTAACTGGTTCTCTACTCGTCTCGGTCTGTTTTGATCCGAGCAGAACAACAACACCTCACCCGATCGAAAGAAGGGTCGGTCGTCGGTCCGGTCGAACGAGAGCTGAGCGAGGTGGCAGGGCACAGTGCCTACGAGGTCATCCAGCATCACGAAGCCTGCTTCTGCGACGTTCCAAATACCTTGCAGACGAGCTGCACTCCCAGGAGTGAATCCACAAGCGAAGGAGGGAAGAGGATCCAAAAGCTGCTAGGCCTTCTTGCTACTAGTAACAAGTGCATCGCTACTAGTAACAAGTGCATTGCTACTAGTAGCAAAGAGCTACTAGTAGCTTCTTAGTTACTAGTGGTAATGCCGTAATGCCTTTGTTACTCGTAGCAATGCCCTTGTTAGGCCCTAGGCGCCCTAGGCTAACTCCCAATCCCGGCTCGTTTGAGTTTCAAGGTCGTTCGACGGACCTATGAACCGGGGTGCGCACTGGAGCGTAGTCCAAACAACTTCACGGAAGGAACCGTTTGATACCTTTTGGTGTCGGACAGGGGTGAGCAGCGCCGCAACGCGCCGCAGCTGCGGGAGAATCGCAACCCTAGCCACTAGAACTTGAGTCGCGGGACCATCCGAGCTATCACTACCCCTCATGACCTGTCTGCGAAAAACTATGCGCATCCATCCACCAGTGATACCTCAAGCAAGTAGAGAACCCGATCAAGGAACGTGTGTCATCCATTTCTTCTTGATAGGTGGTCTAAAGAAAAGACATGACGTGCATAGTGCATATATATATATAGTCTATTTGCCTCTTAGAATACATCAACACCTTGGCCGCAAACCACCTTAACCTGCTTTGTTTGCCGATGAAAGCTGATGACCTGCCCTTCGATGACGGGCGGCTTCACCCACTGACCGGCACGGGAAGCTCGACCCCCTTTGACCCTCTTGGAGCAAGCACCCCCAGCAGAGAAAGGATGGAACGTCACATGGCTGTTGGGCCAAGACCATGAAAACAATGGTTGTTGGATTCCCATGGTATACATACACTAAGTATGCATAAGTATGCCATGTTTGGACTTTCTCGCTTGGACTGCGGTATCTTCTACACTTTTACACCCAAAATCCTCTGGCACTGCGCCCAGAACCGCATACTGGGCATACTGCACCGTTTTCTATCGCTCCAAGGGGCAGTCAAAGCTGCCGTTTGGGGAGCCACAGGAGCCTCCTGGCTGCTCCTGTGGGCACCGCATTGGTTGGCGCTGGGGAGACCTGTTGGAGGGTGTTTGATAAATGTTTCACAATGTTCTTAAAACCTAATAGCGATGGCCTCCAACCTACTAGCGATGGCCTCCAACCCACTCCAACACAATGTTCTTTCATCAAAGGTCATGACACAATGTTTTTCTTTTCCATGACACTCAAAAGACTTGAATGTCTCTAGATCATGCTGCCCACCTTGATGCACTGCGTCGTCCTGAGCGCCGTGATGTCCCAGAGTGCCGTATCATGTCCCGTCCCAGCCCCTTCGGGTGCAACGGATCCAACAAACAACTAAGCAAATGTACCAATGTACTTTCATGAGACATCAGTGTAGCAGTCTTAGCAAAGGACTTCAGGGGGAAGCTCCGAGCAGATGCTCCCGATCTTTCTAAACGCGGCACAAGTTCACTCCCAGCACTGCACAGGCTCCCACCCACCGGGGGCGAACCCAACGGCACCTGCGCCACCGCGGCGGGTCACTCCAGCGCCATCGATCGATGTGATCGACCTGGTCCGAGGATCTTGGCAGGTCCACCTTGGGGCGCTTGGTCGGTGAAGGGCATCGATGGACACCGGCCAGGCCACGAAGTCCTGCGGCGTTTTGGTGGTGTGGGTGTGGTGGTGTCTCCAGTCATGTCCAGTCCGGTCTTGTTGGAACTGAAGGAAGACCTGGGAAGAAGCAAAAGCATACATCGATGAAGCCACGACAGCGGTTCTGGTCTTGTCATCGACCTTTCACGTCAACATCCGAGCAGCTCATGGGCAAAAGTCACCCGACCAAACGCTCGCGAGACTCTCGCGACCAGAACTGTATCACCATCTTGGAGAGGTCCAGTTGGTCGACCATCGCTAGGAGCAAGGACGCTACTAGGGGCTCCTGGCCTTACTACTAGGGACAAAAAGCCACTAGGGGCTTCTGGCATCGCTACTAGGAACAAGAAGCTACGAACGGAACAAAGGGCATCGGACCCCGAACGGAGCGATCGGACGCTACTAGGTTGGTCGGCCATCGCTAGTAGGGTATCCACCTCCGGTCGCTTCCGTAGCCTCCTGCCCCACATCCGCCGTGACCCGGTCCAGTAGCCGTCGTCATAGCCGGAGATGCCGGTGGGATTCGCTTGGCAACCCACCTGGCACTTTGCCCAGACATCCCGATGCGACCCCATATTCCAAACCACCCGACCACAGGGAATCAGGGAATGCAAGTGAAAATGCTTGTGTGGAGGGAATAGGTCGAGACAAATGCTTCATAGGTTGCTTCACATGTTGGTCCTCTTGAAAAGGGCACCAGTTCTTGACAAATTTGGGTCTTTGTCTCTTTTGATGATGCACAACTGCTATTTGACTAGGGGCAACTGCATGGCGTGGCAAGAAGCTGAACTTCAAGTCTCAAGTCAAGTGTAATGGAGAAGGTGTACTTCAAGTGTAATGGGCAGGGTCGGATCCACAAATCTTGCGTGAAAGGTTCTATGGAGCGGAGCAAAGCGTCAAGGCCGCTAGGCCGCCGCTAGGCTCCGTCCTCTTTGACTTGATTGCTTTGGGGCCGATGCTAGGCCTGGTTCAACTGAAGGAGAGGAGTCTCCTCAAAACGAGCCCAGGCATAGGAATACTTTCTACCCTTGTTCAGATAGAAAAGACACTGTTTCTGACAATGTGTTGGGTGTCCATTCATATTCATATTTAATTTTTTGGGAACGTCTATACATGCAGGAAAGAGAACATGATGCTGATGCTGTGGTGCCTGTGCCTGTGCGCCCTTAAAGATATCTCCAGGCTACTTAACACCTTTGTCAAACATCGCCGTTCGTCAAACCTCGTAGCCAAACTCCGACCAGATTGCATTGCATTTCCTCAGCGATGAGAGAACCCGTGACGAAGCCCGTGCCGTCTCCGGTGACGAAGCCCGTGGCGTCGGTCCGCATGGATCCGCAGGGTTTGTTTCAACATGTTAGTCGGACAAAGTGCTAGGCTTTGGACCCCATGCTGTCTGTGTGCAACACAGACAGAAGACAAACATAAAAACAATACTCTGCTGGGTATCAGTGAGACAAGGAAAGTCGGAAGGGCCTCTAAAAGACCAATTTCCCAAACCATCTCTGGACTGTAGAATGGTCGTTGTGTGTGTGTAACCCTTGGAATCATTGGGATCCTTTTGGATTTTTC